GCCCGAACTGCGCCACACGCGCGCGCGGGTCACGCGGCGCGCCGCCATCTTGTGCGGCCGCCATCTCCCCGCCGGCCCGCCCGCGGACTCACCGTTTTCGTCAAATAAAGACATAAACCCAACGCTGCTCGCCCGGGACTGGGATGAAGTGAGGCGCGTGTGAACCCGAGTCCGAGGAGGGGCGGCGGAGGCGGCGGAGCAGCGCAGCGAGCAGCGGCCGGGCCAGGCGCCGCCGAGCAGCGGGGAGGGGCTGTCCCAGCGACGTCCGGGGTCCACACCCTTCAGCGCCCGGGGCCTGGCGACCTGGCGCGGAGAGACGGCGCCGTGAGCCGCGGGCGTCGGGGCGCCTTCCCCGCCAGCCAGCGGCCCGCGGGGGTCGAGGGGGCGGGGAGGACTGGGGAGGGGGCGCGGGGCCGCCGCCCCTCCACCGGACTCACCTCTGGAATGTTCTCGCTCTGACTGAACAACGCCGCCGCCGCGCTCAAGCTACCCTTGGCCCCAGTGCCCGCCCCCCGCGCCTGGCAGCATCGTTCATTGGCCCGAGGCGCGCCCGAGCTTGCTCGTAATTGGCCCATATGTCACGTCAATCGCATCTTTCTCCGCCCCTCCTGCTTCCTGAGGCTCCTCTCGCCGCCTCAGCCCGCCCCCAGTCCCCGGGTCCTGGGTTCGTTCCCCTGCCCTCCCCTCCCCCGCCCTTCCCAGAGGTCTTCGCGGTCTCGCGAGAGCCGACTGGCCGCGACAGGGGGCTGGCTGCGGGGCCACGCTTTGTCGGTTTGAGCGCCGGGGGAAGATGGCGGTTGGCTCCCCTCCCCCGTCGCCTTGGCCAGGCCGCGTTCCCGCCGAGCTCCCCTCGCGGCGGGTGCGCAGCCTCGCCCGGGGGCGGGGCGGGGGAGGTCCTCTCTGCCTTTTCCGGCCCCTGGGGACTCCTGTTGTCGGGCTTCGAGGAGGAAGTTATTCTTCCTCCCCGCTGCCTAGGCCTGGGCCGGCTGTGATGATTGGAGGGCCTGGGTCTTTCATCCCAGGTGCTGTTTTTTAACCTCCGAAGCTGGGGTCCGGGTGTCACTTTGACAGCGTCGTCGTGCGGCGTCCCCGGCCCGCCTGCCTGGCTCTCTCTCGGGCACCGGGCCTGCAGGCCTGGCGGGGCTTGGCACTCCTGTGCACCCGCTTTCTAAGGAGGGAAACCCCAAATTAGCTCGTGACTCCAGGACCCTCCTGAAAGCGTGCTCTACTGTAACTCTGCTCAAAACAAACATCTCATTGGGTTACCATTCCCGGAACCCACCACTCCAGTTAATTGTGGCTTCCTTGCTGGGCAAAGCATAGCCCAAAGCAGGTGTTCCTAATGAGGTTCCAGTGCCGTCCCTCGGAAGTGACTATTTAGAAAGAGCCTCTGATGTTTTCGTTCTGTTGAGGTGATTACAGAAACTCTCCCATTCTTTCAGAAACATATTTGGTTTAAAAGTTTGAATTGCGGGCGCCTGGGTGGCTCAGTCGTTAAGCATCTGCCTTCAGCTCAGGGCATGATCCCAGGATCCTGGGATCGAGTCCCCCATCGGGCTCCCTGCTCAGTGGGAAGCCTGCTTCTCCCTCTCCCACTCCCCCTGCTTGTGTTCCTGCTCTCGCTATCTCTCTCTCTCTGTCAAATAAATAAATAAAATCTTTTAAAAAAAAAAAGTTTGAATCGCGACTGTAAAAGCGCTTCCAGAGTGCACCACGAAATTTGAAAACATAGTTGGCTGTAGTAAAACCAAGAGCCAAATAAAGGAGCCTTTGGTTCTAACCCGCTCTCTGCGGTCTCTAATGAGCTCTCAGGGTGAAGTGTCCCAGGCAGCAGCGTGGTTTTCCCAGGCTGGATAAAATAGCATGCTGGTGAGGACAGGATGAAGTGGGTAAGGGGCTGCCCAATCGAATATGCAAGAAAGTTGGAATTGAAAGGTATGTTGATTTTTATCAAAGTTCAGGATACTCTTCCATGATTTACAAGCTTTATAAACCATTTAAAAATTGACAGTGTGGGTGGGGAAGTTAATAAATTAAAGGGGCGATCCAGAATTGAGAGAAGTAATTTATGTCTTTGCTGTAGGAGCTGATATTATCATCACACAGTGTATACGGTGCTGTATGATTTGTAGACCAAGTGCATAATGCTTTATGGGTACCAGGATTCCCATCAGATCAACGGAAAAGGTAGATCCTAGACAAGCTGTTTCTGGCTCACCATGAAGCATGACCTAGCAGTATGGAAAC